GGATTTGGTAAAGGAACACATCTGGCAGGTTTGTACATAGTAGCATCACATTGAGTTACCTTTATTATGGGGCCAGGGAACTTGTTTTCTTTCTCTGGCTAATACGCCTGGCTCTTCATTCACCACAAGCTTTAAAACAGTACTGTACTTGTAGGTGTGATTGTCTGAGATATGAGTAAAGCTTTGTAGGCAGAGTTAATCTCTTCTATTTCAGACACAAGGCTTTTTCACCCTTTCCTCTGCTATTTACCCAATGAAAAAAAGCATGCAAGTACACAGATCCAAGCCTCCATGCTTAGGAAAAAAAATAAAAAACAAAACAAAACAGGAAAGTAGCTTATGTATAAAACAAAAGTCATGGCAGTGTGTTGCTCAGTAGCAAGAAAGGTGAACAATTTTTTTTTTAATTAAAAGGAAAGCCCCTGAAAACCACAGCTTTCCTAACTGCAATCCACACACACACACACAGAGTACTTGTCATCACTGTACCCCTTCTTCCTCTCCATAACGTGTCCTGCACGCTAAAGTATTTGTGTCTATTTGCACGCTTGATCTTTGCTGGCCACTTTTGTAATTACATCAGTGTTATTTCTCTAAGCTTAGAAAAAAACCTTGGAAAGGAACAGCTATAACCTGTCTGTCCACAGGAGCATTCTGGTTTTCATCTAGAGATAAGCAAAAAGGGGGTTTTGTTGCTCAGCCTGGTCAAGCAGATATTTTTCTGTTAAGGAACATCTGAAATGTCACCCACCAAAGGGGAAGAGAAGGAGAACCACACAAAGGTGGGTTTCCATGGAAGCGTCAAGCCTGACGCTCAGGTAATTGCTGATACAGCTTTTCAAGTGGTGCATTTCCCAGCACACCTGAACATGCCGGCAGGGCTAGGTCCTGCTGCAGCGGAGATCAGCTTGCAGCAGTCAATCTGCTCCAGCTAACCAATAGACCCTTCATCCCACATGAAGAAAAAACATGCCTCCTACCAAAATAATGAAAGCCGTCTAATGTGCAACATGCCTTTAAAAGGTGTAAGGACAGTTGGTGCTTTGGGATTTCCAATTCCCCTAAACACTCTTTTCTCCTGTTCTTTAAACAGATCTCTGCTTCCTTGGCATTTATTTCACTCAGGTCAAAGTGACTGTCCTGCAGCTGCACTGAACTGAATGTTTGTTTCTTGTTCCACAGGGGAACAGGGAAGAGATGGGGAAGTTTTTCAAGAAACTGGCAGTGAAAAACCTGTGCTGAATTAATATTACCAACATATTTCATTTGCACGTGATTGAAGCTGACTTTTTTGGATAATGTTCTGAAATATTTGTCAACAAAACTCACCAAGCCTGTTTTACAAATGACATTTCAATATGCAGTTGGATAAAAATCATTCCCTTGATGCAAAAATGAATTTAAACTTCTATTTCTACAAGAGGGCAAAGTGTTGAGCCAACTGGTGAAATTTTGAGACTCAAAACATTAGGGATGATTTAATCAGGTCTAATTAGCACAGCTGGATTTCTTAAGCATTAAAGAAGAAAATATCACCACATAAAACCAAAAATCTCTTTACAAAGGCAAATTATTCCTGCCAAAAATCACAAGGTGAACCAATCACTCAAAAATAAAGCTACTTAAAGCTGTCAAGCGGGCAGCTCTTCTTTGGTTTTGCAACCAGCAACAGGCACTACGTTACACGCCTGGGGCAGGTTACTGAGAAGAAAAGGGCAATGTTAATTTACAACATGCTGGACTCCTATCAACATCCCTTGTCTCACTTTAATTTGTTTGCCATGCATACTCTCTTGCTGGCTATGCATTGCCCATCAGCTGCCTATGCTGATTTTCTCCAGACAGAGGTTGTTACCACAGCTGCTGGACCTTTCAACTGCAGCTGGACCACTGTCCAGACATTTAGTTGTTCTCTTTAGAAACATCTCCCAGAAGAGCACTGGCAAACCGCTCCCGCCCTATGGGATTTATTCAAAAACAGCAGACAAATTTTGCTTCCTTTTTTCCCGCCCAACACGTGGGCCACCTCCCTGTGGAGCAAACAGGCCTTACAGAAGGTTAGTGGCACTTTCCCCTATGGGCAGCGTAGCCAAATGAGTAAAAGCTTTCAGCAGGCAATGGGAACGCTGTGATTCTTCAAAAAAGGAAAATAAGCCTGTTCGTTGCTTGGACAGCAATTCAAAATTGCATTTTCTTCCATCCCAGAAATACTTCACCCACTCAAACACTACTTTTTATCATGGAACTCGTATCAGTTGTTAAAATGGGTACGTATGAAACTACTGTGACTCCTGTAATAATCTGTTATATAGGATACACTAATTTGACTGGTACGTATGAGTAAAATTACAGTGGGGTTTTCAGCTAGAAGGGACTGCAAGTGAGCAGTTTATCATTTAAATGCATTGGGAGTAATTCAATCACAGGAGGCTGTTACGACAACACAGCGAGGAATAATAACCAGCAACACAATGGCCCCTAACTAGAGCAAAACGGTTTCCAGCCCTTTCAGATGGAAAACAAAGAATAAAACAAATCACAAACAAAAAGCCCTCCACACAGATAGGAAAGCTCAACAATGGAGTCAAGGGGAAATAGGGGATATCTGCATCGGGCTCAATGGCATCCTTTCTCCCAGACAAGTACCAGCTTTTTACACATTCTCTGCCACAGCATCTCCAGGTATGTGATTATAACACAGAAAAGCAGAGAAATGCTTCTTTTCTGCTTACGGACCCACTGGGAGACACATGGCCTGTGCTTTGATCGCATTCTTCATTCAGGATTTCTACTTTTCTCCTGTCCTCACTCAGACCGTCAACACTTCCACGCACCCAGAACGAGAGAGAAGGTCCTTCCTTCCAAAATTTTTAGTTAAGCTCATTTCATCCTTTTGATACTGCTCCTCTCTTACTCTCCCTACAGAAATGCAGCATCCCTCCAGAGCTGGGTCAGGAAAGCCTTAACATGTGGGGCTGCAGAGAGAGTTTAAAGAGAAAAAGTGAGGGAAGAAATAATAAAAAACCCCAGCAATATCCGCAACAAATCCAGCATCAGCAGGGAGGCAGAAATGACCATGTTCTGTATCACTTAAAGTTTGCAAAGGGTAATGTACTGACAACTGCTATACCTAAACGTATTTGCAGGCAGGGAATCCATAGCATCAAGATGTGTAAAAGCTCTGTTTTCCACATGAAAGGGAGTCCCTCCTTAAACAGGAGTGTACCCCTACCACGAAACTGCTGGAAAAAGTAATCAGTCACAAATAATAGTCATAAAGCCATTTTGATATTTAGCATTCCTCCATGGACAATATCATTATACATGGCTTAAATAAATCCCTCTAGCACACAGTTGCATCTTTATCATTTTCCTTAAAGGAAACTCAGGTAATTTATTTTTTCGTTCCCCTAAAATACATTTTATTTCATCTGCAAATTCAAGAAGATGACTAGCTGAGAAAAGTCAAATTTAGAGTTGGCTGGAAAACTCCAAGTCCAATTGTGAGACATTTTGTTGCCTCAGAGATGGGTATTCTCCAAGATCCATCATTTACTCTGGGGAAGATCTGCAAAAAGGATGTGGGGGGGGATGGAGATCACTAGGTTAATGGCTGCTCACATACCCCCAGCTTTTCAGAACTTTACCAGAAAAATGGTATTTACATTGCAAAGCCATATTGTGTGCGATGCAGATCCAGGAACTGTAGTGCCAGACACTCAATTCACGTGCAAACAAGCTAATTAACACCAGCCTGCCAAATGCACCAGAAATGACAGCAGTGACCTGGGTATGAATTCCACAGACCCAAATCGGACTTTTTCACCCCTCACTGATGAGGACTGCTTCATTTGTTAGGCACTGATGTTAACGGTGACATTTTTCTATTCTGGATGAAGCCTGTTCCAGTGCTGACTGATGCCTTTAAGCACTGATTGATTGAAGCTACAGTTACCCCAGAGACCTTGGGCAGTGAGAATCAGCCAAGCGCAGGAAGCATCACCCCTACCTCACCCCTGCCTCACGCGGGCAGAGCTCCTGGGTGAGGTCTCCCTGTAGCCTCCAGGGTCAGAGTAGGTAGGGTTTGAAAAAGTGAGGGGGCGGGGGGAAGAAAGAAACATTTCCACTGTTTTCTGACTAGTGGGTAGTCTGATATAGATTGCAAGTGACAGTGCAAAATGGGTATTTATGGGCACCATCAAGCCTGTGAGAAGGAAGAGGGGAGCCTGAACCAAATCTGACAGGCAGACCAGTGAGATGAAGATCCAGAAACTCTTCGCCTTTGTTGTAATTGAAGCCCCACACACAGACACAGTCTCTTCTGCAAAGCACCCTGCGAGACAGGAGCACAGCTATTTCAGCGACAATGCTGGTGTTAAGAGTTGTCAGCCCTCTCTAAAAGCATCAGTAAACCAAGGAACCGATAATTTAGACTCTCAACCAAAACCTGCACCCTACTGCTGCTGTTTGCAGCCCCTCTACGCCCAGAGCAGCATCTTTCAGATGACGCAGGAGAGGAAAGCAAAATGGCTCTTGGAGCAAGGCTTTAAAGAGAAACTGTAACATGGTTTAGGTCTGCCGCAGGGCTGGTGCTTTAGCATTTGGGGTTTGAGTGCTGCCGCTTCTCCAAACCAACAAAATAAGTGTTGCGTGATGGGCAGGATCCCAGCCAGCAGCTTCCTTAAAACAGTTTCCAGAGGCACACAGGGCTGAAGGTGCACTCTGTAGCTATGGAAAAATTCTTCAAGAGATGTCTCTAAAGACATATGGCCCTGCAAGATGAGACTATAAATACTAGGACTGTTCAACAGGCCAAGTAATTTTAAACACAGTGCTGGAGTTCAGAATGGTTTTTCAAGAAAAGCAGAATGAATGAATGAATGAATGAATGGGATGATTTTATAGGCAGTAAATAGATTATTTAATTCTGGGCAGCAATGCCATGTGCAGCCTTTAGAGAAGAGTGGAGGGATTTGCAGTTGTCTGTCTGTCCTACTCACCGGGCACCACTCCTTTGATATCGCTTTCCGTGTTCATCCTGTTCTTGTGCGTGAACTGAAGGATCAGTTCCTTGGATGCCTCAAACTGTTGTGTAGCCATCAGCCACCGAAGAGACTCTGGGAAAATACTTTAAAGATGGAAAACAGGTTAGGGTCGCTTCCAAGTTTCTGTCATAGAAAGAACTGATAGTGTTTAGCTGCTCATTTAACCGTTCATGAGCTATGTAATTATTTTCGAAAAGCAGGAGAATCACTTATGAAACAAATAAGAGGGAAAACAGATTCAGAATGTGCAAATTAATGACATTTTCTTTTACACTGATTCACAGATGATACAGGAACTATCCTATCACCTAGAAATAGGACGTATTAGAATTTTATAATGTATTAGAGGCGTTCTGCCTGTTAATACAATTTTGAGAGAACTAGGAGATGTCTGCAATAGACATTTGCTGCCAAGCAGGGAATGAATGAGATGTGCAGTTAACACATGGTAATTCAGACCAAAGAAGGAAAATAGCTGACAGAAGTGATTTGGATTCTCTTGTAAAGATGGAGAGAGGAAAGAGACAAATTACTTTTTAGGATTATAAGGGAACTGATTTTTTAAATTTTTAAACATGTCAAAAATCTTCTCCCACATATGCAGACTTTAAGCCGTTCTTTTATACAGGTCAGTATTGTGTATGCTCCAGACAACATTCAGGTGCTGCTCTAAAAGTTCCCCTTGGTAAAGGCAACATTATGTTAGTTGAGTTGCCTTAAAAATATACACGTACACACAGAGTTACAAAATAAAAAAAGTTTATTTTCCATCCGGTTGTTTCCTTCATGTGCTGATATTCACCTGAGTTATTAGCTTAACTGATGATGATCTTTTTTTTTCAGATGAGTTTATTTTCATACAAAACCAAAAGAAATATGTAGATCTTAAAAAAAAACAAAACCAAACAAACAAAACCTCCCATACTTCTATAGAGATGAAAACTTTCAGATCTGACTCCAAGCATATTTTCCTTTCTTGTTTAGGCCTCATTTTCACTAATCTTCCAAAAGACTTTTCTAAGAACAAATTTAGCAACTACTGTTAACTTCAAATATATAAAAACCCCTCAAATTTCCTTCACAAAGAACTGATCTTTGCTGTGGATGCTGCCTCAGTTCTTACAGTTCAACCCAGCAGACCAGGCAATTGCACCATTATAGTACTATCTTCTAAGGCTGATGCAATTTGGAAGACAGCTTAGCAAAACCTCCATCCTAGATAAAGTATTATTACTTTTTTTAAGAAGAAAAAAGGAGAGAAATCAGGCAGACTGCAATCCAAATTATATCAGGCAATAAAACTACATAACAGCCATGATGACAGCTATTCAGTTTGACAGCTTATTTACTACCACTGGCGCTGCACGGATGCTTTGGCATATTCTCCTGCAGAAAGTCCTGTACTGCAGATGCACATTTTGAAAAATTAAGAATTTTCTGAACGCAGAATCTCCCCGCACTTGGCTCTGGAGAGGGGACAGCCTCAGCCACTAGCCTAAAAGCTGCACCTTTTGAACAGTCCCCTTACAGGTACCAAACAACAAGCCCTGTGGGGAGCACCTGCTCCTAAGGAAGGAAGAGAGCCACAGGGATGGGCATCGTGGGGACAAACGCTGTCTCTGCCTCCCAACTCCTACAGGTTTCTCAAACTGGCAGTGCTGAAGCCTCACGTCTGTCAGCTGCTCCATTACTCAGTGCAAGCAGTGGGAGGTTCATTTAAGGATCTTTAAAAACTCCTGGGCTGCTTTGAACCCAGGTTATCAGTCACAGCAAGGGGAAGTGCTGGCCACCCCACCTCTGTGCAAGTGCCCGAGCTTGGAGCACGGACCCTGCTGCCAAGGGTCTTTTGTGTGCATCTCCTGTTGCCAAACCAAGCACCATTACAAACTCAAAAGCAAAAAAAAAAAAAAAAGCCAACCACCTGGCCCCTGTGGACTTCTGCACAGAAATTTGGTCACAACCTCATTCTTCATAACCTGGCATTAAATACTATACATATAAATCAAACCTGAGACCGCTTTTTGCTGAGGGTGGGCAGTCTCCCAGGCTGAGCTGACTGTGGACACCTGCTTGATAGTCTTCTACCTCCTCCATCAGTGAGGAAAGGACCAGTTGAAGTTGAAGAAAAGGACCTTTTGCAGTTGAAGAAAAGAACGGGGTGCGGGTGGGTAGAGGGAAATGTTCATCTCCTATTACACAGCTGCTGCCTGGGAGAGGAGAGGGGGAAGACTGGAAGGGACACTGGGGAAAAAGATCCTAAGCTTGAGAAATCCTAAGAGCAGAGAATACTCCTTGACAGACAGAAAAAGGACAGGCAGGCACTGCACATAGCTGGAAGGAGAACCATGATCCTGTCCAGATACAGAGCAAACCCATGCCCCTATAAAGGGTGCAGTGTGTCAATCAGGGGTCTGCCCCAGGGCAACAAGCCGAGTTATTATAACTTTGTGTCTTGGTAAAGGTAAATCCTACCTAACAGCCCCAGAAAAGAACTGGCCGCCCCTTCCTAGTTCTTCAGTTTTGGTTAGAGTGAAGCAGGACTTTATTTCAGATTATTGATACCTTTGCTGACCTTCATGGCATGGTCCTGTCAGAAGCTTCCCGTGTCCAAGGCAGAGGAAATAATGCCTCTCTATAACTGGAGATCCCCTTCCCTCCTGGCTTTAACACGCACACACACATACACAGTTTGAAAGCAGCCTAACATCTATTAACTTATTTTTATATGCTTGCCACCAACCCCTGTGCTCATGTCTGGCTTATGTGGGTGCCTCTCTGCCCTTCCAGAATGACCTGAGAGCTCAGCAAAGGCACCTGCTCAATTTGCAGGTGTCCCAGTCCACCAGCCCATCCCTCCTAGACAGATCTGCTGCTTCCCCCTTTTCCCCAATCCATGCCCAGCTTCCCACTCCACTCAGCCACCCACCTCCTGGGGATGGTACAGCCTGGGAGCAGGGCAAATCTATAGGTAGGAGAGGGCTAAGCCCCAGCATGGAGGGGCAAACAGCTCTCTCACGGCAGGAGATGGAAGGAAAGAGAGCAAGGAGGAAGAAGGAGGCAGCGCAGGGGCTATCGCAGCATCTGTTATTGAACTCACTGCTTTAGGTACACAACGGGGAATTAATAAGCAGCGCGGTTTTCCAGTTCTTTTATTACAAATCAGTTCGATTTCTTCCTTCATCTGCAACATATGCTGAGGGTCCACGCTCTATTCCCCAACACAATGCTGGGGGAAGAAAGAGGAAAGGAAAGAGGTAATAAAACGGTAGCGCTTTCCAGAGAATATGCAACAGATGGGAGAGAAAAGACTAAGAGAAAAGTGCATACTGTACCGACAGTATAATTAAACAGAGTCCATTTCCGCAAATGCAAAAACCCCGGGCAATGCAAATCCTGTTACTTTGGCTGTTACCACTATTTATCAAGCTGTCATATCACACATTATATAAGGGGAATCTATTTGCGTGGTCTGCCTGTCCTGTCCAGCCAAAAAGCTGCAAAGCTCTTGAAGATTAGGAAATAAATGTTAGCATTTCCTATTGCTTTCAATGTCACCCAGGGACGACCTCTCAACAGCAATGGAAACAGCAACAGCCACCTGGAAAACGTGCTGCCTCCAGAAGACTGCTGAGGGGTTACTGCTGTCCATGTCGTTTGTCACGTTTGTTAGGCGTCTTCATACTATCGTACTGTCCTATTGGACGCAAATATCTCTAAACGTTATGTTTGATATTGGGTTCTACCCAGTGCTGGATATAATGCTTTCCAGCTGGCGGGCATCCCAATAGGAGGTTTTGGAGCAGACCTGCACATGTGCGTGTTTGCATGTGTATAACATATGGCAGGTTTGGGAGAACAGTATCATACATTAACAAGAACACTTTAGCTTATTCATCATCAAGATTAACACTGACAAGATGAGACTATTTAGATGTTTTATGTTGGAAAACAGGGAGCCGGGGGGGAACAACCTTATCTTGTAAAGGATTTGTAACTTTTCCCGGTGTGCCGCGTTTTGTCCTCAGCCCAAGCTGCGGCATGTCTACCTCGGGGATAAACGATGAAATCCCCGCTGAGGGTTACCATCATGAATGCAGGGGAACTCTGTAAGGCCTTCACGCGTTAATAGAAAAAGATATAACTGTTAAAAATTGTTACACACTGTAACAAGATTTCACATGTTGCAACTTGTCAGGCATTACAACTGGCAGCTTGGCCCCCCACCGTACATAAACAACTTGGTCTTGCACAGTGCAGTGGCATTTTTTCCTCATTTTTTTTCAGTGTACGACAACTAAATATTTTAGTCATGCTATAGTTATCTTTAAAATGAATGATCTAGCGTGTTCTTACTGTTATGGTTTTGTACAACACTGCTCTCGTAAGCCTCTGTTGTGTTATGCCGCCACTGCGTGTCACTATTAAGACAGAACAACAAAGACAGACTTTTTTGGGAGATTTATAGAGTCCTGGTGGGAACGGAATCGGCACCACCTCCAAGGTGAGAGGCACCCTGTTTCTCTCAGGACAGCCGTACCCATGCTGCAGTGCCGCTGCTGCAGCGGGCAGAGAGGAGTAGGAGCAGCCAGGAGGGGAGGATTCCCGGCAGGAACGATCCCGAGCCGCTGCCCAGTGCAGACCGGCCACCCAGGCTTCGGCACAGTGTGCGCTAATCCGGGCGAAAACCGAGCAGGCAGTCTGGTTCAGGGCTGGCTACCTCATGCACACAAGACGTCCAAGTGTGCTCGTTCAAGAGCTGACACACGTTATTTTTAACCTAGCCTGGCTAACCCAGGCCAAAGAAACCAACAGTGACAGCCCAGAACCACAATACAGGTTTTAAGGGAAAATTTAGCTGTGCAGCCGCAATCTGACAACAGCTCGGCTGAGAGGCTTCCTCTCAAGAATTGTTTGCATCTTTAAAGGCAGAGTAACAGCCAGAATAATAGCAAAGTACAACTTGCTGCTCAATGAAAGAGGACCATCTCCTGAGTTCCCACCACGTCGCAGCACGTAACCTCTGTGTGTGCTATGATCAATTATAAAGTTGTTATTTCTTATTTCAAAGTCAAGTATTTGCAAAAGGTGAATGTAACAACACAGGGAAAGGCTCATATGTATTGTGAAGCACATACACTTCCAGGCAGCAAAGCACCTCCCAAGTCCAACATTAGGAGCTCGCGTTGTCTTTGACCCGACAGGAGGAAGAAGTACTTACACCCAGTAAAGCAGCA